CACGGCAAAAGCACGACGTCTGAACTGGGCCTAAAAGACTCATACAAACAAACGTAAAGAACTAATTACCGCCTATTGATTGCAAAGCCAATGGGTTCGCATTCTGTTGGAGCCTGAAATTACTTTTTCAGACTAACCGCTCTCTTTTCGGCTGCTTAAGTTGATGTACAAGGGCGATCTCATTATCTTTTATAAATAACATTGTTATATCTACTAACTCAAATTCGTTTTCCGATTGGAGGAGAACGTATCACGTGTCATGGGCCAAAGCTCACTTACAAACAAAACTCACTAACTTCCGGCTAGGAAAACAATAACTTGAACTTTCGACTCGCACGTGATCAGGTCTTGCACCTTGAAACCATGTCAAATTTGTGTGACAGCCGGTGTCAAGCAAACAGTCTTGTCGCAGTTTGTTCCATTTTTAAGTTGAGAAGTACAACAAAACACTTAATGACCGGCCTTACGAGAAAAAAAATGAGTTTTGTCTCCCCTCGACCCTCAATGTTTCCCCTCGACCTCTCAGTGTCCTCATTGAGGGTCTTGGGGATACAAAACTCACTGTTCCATTTGAGACCAGTTAATAAATGATTAATATTTTTATTTTTGCAGGTTTCATAGCAGACCAAGCTGGATCTTATATATTGGCGTTCTACGTTGCTGGTTCAATGGGTTTTGTGTTTAGTTGTCTTCCACTTATCTTGTTATGTCTCAAACGGGAGCCAAACACAGAGGAAATAAAACCAGAGACAGAGGAAGATATGGCGACGACACACACTTAATCACATCACATCAAGCACTGGTCAAGAAAATTTCCACATTCTGTTAAAAAAAATTGGCTCGTTTATTGCTCGAAATACCACAGCTTATGATATGATTAAGTTAATATACTTTAAAAAAAAAAACAGTAAATAAAACGAGAGAACCATTTAAAGGAGGTGGAACATCAACAAGCTTTACAGTAGCTATGAACGAACTTTATTTATGTTTGGATAAACTACGAAACAATGGTTTGTTCAAAAGGCGAAGTCCAAATAATAACCAGAAGAATTTCTTCTGCCCACAAAAACTACTCAGGGAGGTGTTTTTTATCATGACATAAAAGGCAGTGATTAAAAAATAAGGTATATATAAATAGTCAAAAATATATATATATATTATTAATACGTTGTGATTTATCTTCGTTCGTTTTATCAGTGAGGATTTTTTATCATAACAACAATGAAAGTGATTAAAAAAATAAGGTATTTATAAATAGCCAATAAAATCTTATTAAAACTTAATGATTTATCTTCATCCGTTATATCAGTACTTTGACACTGTACCCTTGACTTTCACTTTCGGGTCAGTGAAGCAAAAACCAAAATCAATCCTTAACATCTACGAGCGCTTAGTTGAACGTCCACACTACGCCGGAGAAATTTGAAAACGCAGCTTTTCTTCTACGGTGAGGCCTATCGTCTACACTCATCCGTCAAGAAAACGGAGCCTTTCGAAAACGCTCTTCAAACCGGAGGAATTTGAAAACGCCAGCTTTTCGTTTGCGTGTGGAAGGAAAACATTTCGAAAACGTGGCTTTGCGAAAACGATGTAGTTTTCTTCAAACACAAATTGAAAATGACTGGTGATTGATGCATTTTTCAATTCTTCCTTCGTAGTGGAGACAGAAAACATTTGATGCGTTTTCAAATTCCTTGTGCGTAGTGTGGACAGGGCGTTAGTTGACCGTGTCAAGAGAATGCCAAGAGAGGGACACGCGATGTGAAAGAAAACAATCAAAAAATATATTCGTCATTTCACAATTCGCAATTCTTGTTTAGAGCTATATGCACATCATTTGAATTACAATATCAAGGGAAAATGATGTCATAACTCGAAGCAAATGTTATTGAAATTTCGTAACAAATAGAGAAAACGACTGTGGGGGACTGAGGAGACTTTGAATCGTTAAGTTGTGTAGTAATAGCCCATTTTACAGTTCCGTGCTGAGTGATCAGGCCTTTGAACAGAAGTGAGGCTAGAGTTGATTTTGTTATGATACAAACCTATTTACTTTTCGAATGTAGATTACTCTGTTTTTGTTTAAAATAAAGCTTGTCATAAAATGTAAATCATTCTGTTATCACGCTAAATAGTTTCTAATCTCTATCATTACAAGTTCAACCCAGACCTCGCTTTTACGCAGATGCTAGGTTACATTTCAAAGAACTGTAAAATGGTCTGTTGTACTGTACTGTTCATCTGGCATGATGCTGGTCTTTACCAAAAATGCTCTACCTACTCAGGCTTGACTAGTACTTTGTATCGCACACAAGTTGGTCTGCTGTTTCCTGTTCGTTATC